TGGTATTTATGAAGGGCTATATAATTTCAAATCAACTTACAAAGTGTTGTTAATTAAAGTCTATTCTTTGTTAATTCTGACTCCAGTTGCAAGTTTTGCTAGTTGTATGTACGTACACTCGATCAGCAGGTATGATGAGACATCTCACGTGGTTGACTGGAACTGTGATATTGGCACAGCCTATAGCTGCCCAGATACTGTTATTAATTTAAATGACTAAAGTAGGCCTAATTAGTTTAAAACGCAAATTTGATTACTAATTTCCGACAGCAAGCTAGGGTAGCTCAAGTAAAGTCTAGAAATTGACTCGACTCGACTTAAATCAGTGACTCGACTTGACTCGAGTGAAGCCGCTGACTCGACTCGACTCGAGTGAAGCCACTGACTCGACTCGACTCGATCAAAAACTGAAATGACTCGACTCGACTCGTGACTCGACCTTTGAGTGACTCGACTCGACTCGTGACTCGACCTGTAGGTGACTCGTTACAACACTGCTTCCGTCTGTTGTGACCACAGTCTCACAGAACTCTAATAATAGACATGAACAACATTTTAAGTAGAGTTAAGCTCCATTCTGAGACTTGATCGTTTTTTCAGTCCAAACTGAAATTTCAGTCCGGTTTGAACTGATCAAATTCTACTCATCCCAGGCTGAAATTTGCCATGTAATTGTGAAACAATTTCAGCTCGGTTAATCGGATTGAAATTGAACCCGGGCTGAAAATTCCCCATGTAATCAGCTCCTAACTCAAAATCTTGAATTTATTTGTTGCATTCAGGGGGGAAATTTCAGGCAGTTAGAAATCTGACACCTTCGTTCTCTGGGAAATAATTAATTTAATTTGCAACAATCAAAATTATTATGCCGCCAGCAGTCAAAGGGTTGATATGATGGCGTGCTATAATCATCACCCCTGTCCCACCAAAGATGCGGGAACAACAGTGTGTGTAGTACACACACAAATTTTGTACCTATAAAATAATTCATCTGCTGTAGATGTATAATTCAGCCTTAGGAAATGTATAGGTTATCATATGATATCAGCCAATGCAAGGGATATTATAATGCATGTGATGTTACTCTGAGTGTATATCCATACCGGGCAAGTTTGAAAAATACATGCCTGGCCATGGTGGGAATCGAACCGAATTGAACCTACGACCCAACGCTCTGCCAACTGAGCTACACGGTCAGGTCGGTTCGAGTATGTGATATTTCGGAACAGAATCTAGTTCCTTCGATACCAATGTAATCTAGTTATCATGATTTCTTCTGTGTTGAGCATTGGGCTAGTATTCCAAAGGTCGTAGGTTCAATTCCCACCGTGGCCAGGCATATTTTTTTTCAAGCTTGCCCGGTATGGATATACACTCAGAGTAACATTGATCACAAGCATCATATTCACCTGAGTACATTACACCAACACAGAAAAAACCATGATATTATGTAGCCTGCTTGCCGCCTGGAATTTCCAAGGGGGGAATTATCCCTCCTTGGAAATTCCAAGCAGCAAGCAAGCTAGATATTATGATATTGTCCTGAAAGCAATAAAATTAACTGATGTCGCCTCATCCTGATAACAATAACCTGTGTATATATAACACACTTTTGCCTTTATCAGGGTCACAATTTATTTAGAATATTAATTAACCAAATGTTGCCTCAATGCAACAATTATTAAAATAGCGGGACGAAAAGCAATATCATTGAGTAAAAGCAATATCTGTGACAAAACATAGGTCCGCAGTGGCATACATGCATCTACTGAATAGTAGCACCAGGAAATAAAAGGCATTGAACAGATAAAACATAGATGTGCACTCTGACCTTTGGAATCGATTTGTTTATTTCTGGTTGGGATTAAGGGATTAGCTGCGGACCAGAAATGGAAATACCATGATAAAAGATGCAAATTTGATGATATACAAGCTCAAAAATAACCCTCTACATAGTGTTATTCATTTGATAAATTAGTTGCAAATAAAGATTATTACAAAGAAAATACGTCCAAAGAGGCCGAAGTTATGTTGGGTGAAAGGTATGGCTAGTTTATATTTTTGTTCAGACAATTACATAACTTGATAATGGGTTGTTCCAGAAAAGATCCACACTCCCCCCCACAGAGGAAATTTCTGCCGTCCGGAGGGGGAGGGGAGAAAAAATTGTTTCTGGTAATAGTAAATGCATTATTAGGACATCCGAAGGGGGTAGGAGGGTTAACTTCCAATTTTCTCTGTGGGGGTGGTATGGATGTTTTCTGGAATGACCCAATATATGATCTTGTTTGACTTTGAAGTTTCAGAGGCCATAAATCGCTACAATGTTGATAATAACTAAAACTTTGTAAGGAATTAGTTGAATTGTTTCACTGCAATGGATCGAATGGTGATATTATTGTCTTCATAGCATGCACTGAACCAAAGATATGAACATAGAAAGTCATCATCCTCTCACGCATGATGATACTTACAACTTGTCGAGAAAAAGTTAAAGTCAGAAAAAAGCTTCACCCAAATTTTACTGAATAGAACTGAATTCTATTTTACAGCAAAGAACAGTTATACAGCAATCTTTGTGTTGTACTCATGTTATTGTCAAAACCATTTTATTGTACTTGTATTATTGACAAAACCATTTATGGACAACGGTGGAACTAACCATAGATAACCGACTTTCGCTCGCAATGCAATATTACATTATTAAATACATCATCAAATTTGGTGCTGGCAATGCTTCTACTGATTAAAAAGATCAGTAGAATGCAAAAACGATATTGGTGACATATCGTTTTTGTCACCATGTGAACACCCTGACAAAGGCACAAGTATGTGATAAAATACCACTGTGTATGGCAATACAATGTAACCATGCAAATCTGCAACATGAGCTACACAATAAATCATTTGATTCAGTGCAAAGTCAGACCAACTTTATACGCAGTTTTAAGCGTTTAAAGCCTGCGATGTCGTGCGACTGCGGTCACTTGCAAATTTTAAGGGGTTAAAATATATGCCAAATAAATGGCAAATTATATACCCATGATAGCCATCAGTTTATAATTTAGAAACATATTACCGTCTATTGAAGTCATTTCACAGGAATTATCTTTCACCTCAACAGGTTGATCTTCATATTCTGTGGAGAATACGTCCCCACTTAATACATGTAAATTACTTCCAGTTTCACTTTCACATCGACTTTCATATTCATCTTCGGAATCGACGACTTTTGTTTCGTTTTCAATGATTTGGAAACAGAGCACTCGGTCATGTATGTCGCTGTTGTTGAACTCTGAAGCAAATATATTTGAAAACTCTTGTAAATCTTCGATTGTCATATCCCTCAAGCCTTCCTCAATGAATACTTGACCTTTCTCTAACGCCATGATGAAAATAATATAGCCAAATTGCCGAAATAATTGTCTGTGGTATTGTCACAAAATAGAGAAGGGCAGAAGCTTCACTCGAGTCGGAACCTTTGAAGTTTTTGTGCCGGTGTCCCAGGATTTTCGCCCCCCCTACATTTTCGCCCCCCGGGGGGCGAAATTCCTAGGAATATCGCCCCCCCAGGGGGGCGAAAATCC